GGCCCCCACCCATGCACCAGGCCTCTATCCTATATAGTAAAAGGGTAATATGCAAACTGACCCTAACAGCAGAAAGACTGGGAATGACTGGTCACTATGACACATACTGACCACCAGGGGGCAGACGCTCAATGCACAGGCATGGAAACATGGAACAGACTGATGAATCTTAGAGGGGTGTGGGAAGGGGGGAGGGAAGGAAGAGATTAACTAAAGATCATATTCATAGTAGAGGCCCGGTGCTCGGATTCATGCACCGGTGGGGTCCCTTGGCCTAGCCTGCAGGGATCAGCCGAAACTGGCAGTCCGACATCCCCAGAGGGGTCCTGGATTGCAAGAGGGTGCAGACCAGGCTGAGGGACCCCACCGGTGCACGATCAGGGCCAAGAGGGACCACGGGAGGGACCGCGGGAGGGCTCCAGGGCATGTGCGGCCCCTTTTGCTCAGTCCCAATTGGCCGGACCCCAGCAGCAAGCTAACCTACCAATCAGAGTGTCTGCCCCCTGGTGGTCAGTGCACATCATAGTGAGTGGTTGAGCAGCCTTAACATATCATTTGCATATTATGCTTTGATTGGTTGAACAGATGAACGGATGAACGGACTAACGGACACTTCACATATTGGGCTTTTATTATATAGGATTATTGATATCAGAGAGGGAGGGAGAGGGGGAGAGAGAGAGAAACATCAATACTAAGAATCATTGATCAGTTGCCTCCTGCACACCCCACAATGGGAATTAAGCCTGCAACCCTGGCATGTGCTCTGACCAGGAATCAAACTGTGACCTCCTGGTTCCTAGGTCAATGCTCAACCACTGAGCCATGCTGGCCAGGCTATAGTGATTTTTTTTTTAATGCTGGTTTTATATTTTCAAAATTTTTACAATGAATTGAAATTACTTTCATTATAACAAAATTTGTTAAAATAAGGTTTTCAAAATTTTTACTGTAAAAGATATGTACACAGAGAAAAATACACAAAACATAAACTATAAATACACTATTATAAATAATTATGGAGCCAACATCCAGGACAAGAAACAAACAAAGCAAGGCCAGCCCTCCCTGCCTGCTCCCCAGAAGCCCGATGGCTTACCTTTCCCAGTGAGGTAACCACTATCCTGACTCAGACCCTCATAGTAATCATTTCTCTGCTTTTCTCTAAGATTTGCCACCTATGTGTGTATGTATGTATTCCTAAAACACATAGTTTCGTTTCACCTGCTTTTGAACTTCCTAATAGCAAGCACTTGCACAGCACTTATTATATGCCAGGGAGTCAGCTAATCGCTTGTCCAAATTCACACAGATGCTAAGTGGGAGAGCTGGAATTTTAACCTGGTCTGGCTCCAGAATCCATGTTCTTCCCAAAGATGTCAAGCTACCCATCAGACTGTTGGCTCCCTGGTCAGAGTTTGCCCCGCTGTCAATGGCTCCTCACCGGATCCTTACTTACGCTGGGTGAGCAGACACTCTGCAGGGGCCCGGAGGCTCACTGACACTTGGACCTGTGACAACAGGAGACGAGGGGCTGACCCTTTGGCCAGAGGACATTGTGTTGTGTTGGCAAAGCATCCCTTAGATTCCAGAGAGTCCTTGTGTCTAGTACCTGCAACACATAGATATCACCATTTGATTACATTAATGACAATACTTTCCACTCTATCTTGTTCCCTAGATTATAATTTTTAATTAAAAATGTTTAATGTTGACATAATTGCAAGTGTCCCCTTTTTCCATGCCTTTTGCCCCCCCCCCCCACCTTTCATTCCCTTGGCCTTCACCAAACTACTGTCCGTGTCCATGGGGTATGCATATATGTTCTGGAACTCATCCCCTCTCCTTCTTTATCCAGTCACCACCACCACCCTCTCCTCGGGCACCGGCCAGTCTGTTCCATGTGTCCACGCTTCTGGTTCCATTTTGTTTGTCAGTTTGTTT